TTTTTTCTTCTCTCCCTCCTTTTCCAAAGGCCCCTTGGGTTGTCCCACTGGGGAAACTTGGGGTTGGAAGGGCAGCATCCAATGTTTAAAAAAAATAAATTAAAAATCAGGGCTAGGTAATGTCCACTGCCAGCCCCAGCCATCCATCCAGCTCCCCCCTCCCGGATCTTCAGATTGTCCCACTGACACTTCCCAGACTACAACGCCCATCGCCCACAACCCACGCCGAGGATGATGGGTGCGGTAGTCCCACACAGAATTACCCACCTTGCCTCTCCTGCGCAGGTGTCGACTGAAGCCCCAAGCCCCGCCTAGTGCAGACCGGCCCACCTGTGCCTCCGGATTGGTCAGTAAAGATCCAATCACAGCACAGTATTCGCGTCAGTTCACTTCTCTCTCTCTCTCTCTCTCTCTCTCTCTCTCATTGGGCGCGCTCACCCTGCGCTCCGATTGGTCGGAACTCTTTTCAACGCAAGTGTCTAGCGTTGTTTGCTGACTCATGTGACATCCCAAGGAGCAACAACATCGTCGCTCTTCAGCCACTTCCGGTTCTGGATTGACCTCTTTCCTCCCTTCCCAATACAGACAGGAAAACGTGCGCTCTATGGTCCTTCCAGTCGGGATTTCCCACGCAGAAAGCTGGTCAACCATAGAGGTGAACTGTCTAGAAAGTCTGGATTTACCGGAAATGCAAACTGTTCTCTTCCTTTGAGCCTGTCCCAGAATCATAGAGTAACCTGCCAGAGTGGCTCCTTTGGGCAAAAACCAGGGAGGTTGGCGCCCCCAAACATGGGCTACAAAACTCATCAACCCCTAGCAGCTCTGAAATGATGGGAGTTGTAGTCAATCTAGAGTCCTGTGAAGTCCGAGTTTGGAGTTATAAAATGCTAACAGATGGAGCTTTCTGAACCATAGTCATCCCTAGAAAAGCTGCACCTGTTGAGCTTTTGCCTAAGTGTAAGGCCAAACCCTGATGAAGTTTAGATAAAATAGGTTTAAGCGCCTCTTTTGAGTTATTTCTGCATTTAATGTATAGTGCAAACCCTGAAAATGGCTTAATTCAAGTCACCTGTGAAATAAAGGGAGGAGATTTTGCTCCTTTGTAACATCAACTGTTTGATCTAGAGCAGTGTTTTTCAACCTTGGCAACTTTAAGATGGGTGGACTTCAACTCCCAGAATT